CGCTGGGGGAAAAAAGGGGTGGCAACCATCCGCTACAGCTACCTCCTGGACGTGCTGGGTGAGGGGTCCTCGGCGTGGCGCTGGTCCAGCGCCTGGCAGAGGGCTCAGGGCCACGGGGAAGCGAGCGGAGGAACCCCCGTTCTTCTTCTCTCTGCTGACACAGCCCACGTGTCCCTTGCGCCCGAGGGATGTGGGGATGGAGGCCAGGCCTGGGTTGTGCTGTAGCTCTGGGGAAGGGCTCGCCGTGGCTTCACGGTGGGTGGGGAGGGAAAAGAAAGGAGCCCCTGCTCTGGGCTGCCGTGTCGGTGACACAGCTCCGCTCTCCTCTGCGCAGAGAGGTCCCCGCACAGGCCCATCCTGCAGGCTGGGCTGCCCGCCAACACGACAGCCCTGGTGGGCAGCGACGTGGAGTTCTTCTGCAAGGTCTACAGTGATGCCCAGCCCCACATCCAGTGGCTGAAGCACATTGAGGTGAACGGCAGCAGCTACGGTCCCGACGGTGTCCCCTACGTGCAAGTGCTCAAGGTAACAAGGGCTGGAAGCGCCCGTATTCCAGACGCCCACCCCAAAGTGGTGAAGGGGGGTGCACGGAGCCCCTCAAGGAGGAGGAAGGATGCCGACCACCTATCCCCCTCCCTGGCAGACTGCAGACATCAACAGCTCCGAGGTGGAGGTGCTGTACCTGCGCAACGTCTCCATGGAGGATGCTGGCGAGTACACCTGCCTGGCGGGGAACTCCATCGGCCTCTCCTACCAGTCTGCCTGGCTCACTGTGCTGCCGGGTAAGGGTGGGGGTCCTGAGGTGGGAGCTTGGACACCCAGCACGCAGGGATCATGGCTTAGGCCGGCTCATTCGTTCCCTCCAGAAGAGGAGCTGGTGCGGGAAGCCGAAGCCCCCGAGGCCAAGTACACAGACATCATCATCTACACCTCGGGCTCGCTGGCCGTGGCCATGGCCGTCATCATCGTGGTGCTGTGCCGGATGCAGACTCAGTCGAGCAAGCAGCCCCTGGAGCCCATGGCGGTCCACAAGCTCTCCAAATTCCCGCTCATCCGACAGGTGGGTGCCGAGCTGGAGTGGTGCGGGTGTGGGCGGACCTGGGTGAGCGACTGGCTCCACGAGTGCCACCTGCACCTGGCACACCGTACCCTGCTGCCCTGCCCTCCCCGCTGCCTCCTGCAGCTCCCTCGCCCCGTCGCTCCCAGCGAGGGTCTCTCTGCAGCACCGTTGGGTCTCTGACCCCGGAGCGCTGGGCGGGATGGCTGAGGTCCCTTGGGCTCTCTCTGCAGTTCTCCCTGGACTCCAGCTCCTCCGGGAAGTCCAGCACGTCCCTGATGCGCGTCACTCGTCTCTCCTCCAGCTGCGCCCCGATGCTGGCTGGGGCTGTGGAGCTGGACCTG